GAGAAGATGGTCATCACCAGAGTCAATAAGGTAAAGAGAGGAATGAATTCAGAGAAGGGGGTCGGAGTACACAAGATACTTATGGTGGTGTGGGTGAGTTTTGAAGGGGTTTGTAATAAAATATTAATATAAATGGTACTGTTAAATAAAAAGAGATAAAAGACAATATAAAAGACTACATGAGCTAGTGAACAAACAATGCCCCAAAAAAAAATGAAACCATAAGAAAATTTTATTTTTATGTAACTAAAAAGAATTAGGGAAAAAAATTATGATTCTACAAACCATAGGGACCATTTATGAAATTTTATGCCAACTTTTTGTCAATTCTGTTCACAAATTTCAAATGTACATAGAACTTAACGGCGTCTGAAGCCGTTGCCTTCACGAGTGACATCCACACCACTAATTTCAAAATACATCTCAATCATTCACTGCGCCCAAAATTACAATCCCCATTTTCAAAATTAGATCTTTGTAACGGCTTCTTCCTCCCCCGACCCTCTATCTATCTAAACCCTACCGTCATTTCCCCCAAATTCACACCTAATTCTCTCCTCAAACCTTGAGATTCCATTTCAATGGCGTCTCTAACACCAGGAATCTTGTTAAAACTCCTCCAGACGATGAACACCACCACACGAGTTACCGGCGACCACCGCTCCCCTCTTCTCCAGGTCATCGGAATTGTTCCTGCTCTTGCAGCAGGCTCAGATGACCTCTGGCCTAACCATGGCTTCTATGTGTCTCTCTCTGACTCGGTTAACTCAACTTACGTCTCGTTATCTGATCGGGACACAGATCTCATATTCACTAATCGATTACAGTTAGGGCAGTTTGTGTATGTTGATAAGTTCGAGTTTGATTCTCCAGTACCACGAGCATCTGGAGTACGTCCGATTGCTGGTCGTCATCCGTTTGTTGGAAGTCCTGAACAGCTTATTGCTAGGATTTCGAGTTCTAAAAGAGAGTTCGTGATCCAGACTGCTTCCGATTCAGATGCCTCTGGTGATCCTATTGCTGCTTATTTGTCGAGTAAAAAGTCAGATGGACCTGTACATGACTCGAAGGAAACAAAAAACGAGGTTAGGGCTTTTTTCTATTCACAGATTTGATTTTTATACATGTCAATCTAAAACTTATGTGCTTTATCGTGAATATTCATCAACATGTCATCTATTAACATAGAGTTTATTCTTAGTCTCAAATGTTAAGGGCTGAATTTGTTTTAGAAATGTCTGAATTTTGAGATATAAACTTTTTCTCCTAAACCGACTGTATCAATTTGTTCAATGAGTAGTTTGATTTACCAAAGGCAACCATAAAACTTCTCGTAGTTTAATTAAATTTGTAGTGAATAATAGTAGTTAAAAGAAAGAGCTTCTACTTAATAATAGGTGTTACTGTTTGTTAAACAGGTTAGGAACAGACAAGTTCTTGCACCTAAAGAGAACGTGAATACTTCTAATGAGTCAACAAAGACTGCAGAAAAGCCTCCTCAGAGATTTTCAAGTCCAGCCATGAAGCAACAGAGATCAGTGTCAGCAGGAAAGAAGAACGTAATTGAAAGGGACCCTTCACCTGCCGGAAAAGCAAAAAGATCATCTTCTCCGGTACCTTCAAAGTGTGTGGTTCCTAGTTTAGCCATGGCTAAAGAAGAGAACCGAAAGTCTGCAAGAGAGCCTGCCATTATTGTTCCTTCAAGATATAGACAACCTTCACCAAATGGCCGGAGACAAGCATCTCCAAGCTCAAGACGAATGTCAATGTCGCCAGGCAGGCGGTTGTCTAGTGGTGTTAAAGTTTCTCCGGCAACTGATTCCGGCAACAAGAAAAAGATGGCAACTTTAGCTGCTGAGATTTCAAAGGTTTCAGAGGCACTTGTTGGGTCTTCCACAAAGTCAAGTAGAAAGAATTGGGATGAAACAGAAGTGAAAGAGAAGAGTGGGATCAAAAGCAAACCGGATTTGCAAGCTATTTTAAAAACCCAGGTAAATAAAATCAAAAACCCAACTTGTTTATATTTTATAAAAGTTATACAATTTCATTACGATGTTAATGAAGTTGTTGCCCTTGGTTTTGTTTTTGTTATATTCAGGCTGCTCTTTCAAGACGTTTAAGTGATGCACATTCACATGATCAAGAAGATTTTTGTAGTGAAGAAAAAGTAAATCCTACCTCATGTGGCACTCCTCCTTTGAATACTACTACTACACCTCTTGGAATCACACTTCATGAAAAGAAATGGACTGATGGTAGTGTCCCTCTGGATGCAGTGTCTTTAGACCTAGCAAAGCTTGGACAGGTAGAAAAGACATGAATGCCCTTCTATTTTAAATCCACAAATCACCAATGTTTTGTAATTAATATTTGAACTCATTTTGTAGGATGCTATGCGAAGGAGAAATGTGGCTTCAGTAGCTGCAGCTGAAGCTTTGCAAGAAGCACTTGTTACTGAAGCTATTCTCAGGAGTTTAAGGTATATTAGCATTGTTCTCAAAATCAGTTCAAATAAATATTTTGTAATTAATATTTGAAATGAGATAAATATTTATTTATCTTCTCAATTGCAGCATGTTCTCAAATCTCTGTTCAATCTCAAAAGCCGGAAATCCACTACCAACAATCGACCGGTTCATGACTGTCTACAACGACACCATAAAAGCCACCACAACAGCCGAATCACTCACCACCACCACCACCAATCGCACCACCGCACCACCACCAACCGACCAATCAAAATCCCTCGCTCTCTGGATCGAAGCCGCCTTAGCCACCGACCTCGAAGTCGTCTCCCTCTTAGCAGACCAAGGGTTCGAGACCCCGGTTCAGCCCCAAAAGAAAACCCAATCCAAAATCCGACCCGGTTCAGGTTCCGGTTCCGGTTCAACCCTAACCGAAACAATGAAATCCCATTTGACGATTTCTTCTTGTAATTCTTCTTTTAATGGGTCGTGGATTAAAGGGCGAGGGGTGAATGAGAGTGTGGAATTGGGGATGAAGTTGCAGAAGGAGATGCAGATATGGTTTTTGAAATTTGTGGAGGAATCGTTGGATGCGGGTTTTCAGGTGTTTGGGAAGAATGGTGGTGGGACCGGGACCGGTTCAGCGGAAGTGGGGCCGATTAAGGTGATTTTATCGCAGCTGAAGCGGGTTAATGACTGGTTGGACCGGATGGTTTCGAAGCAGGATGAGGTGATGACCGGAGCGGTTGACCGGTTGAAAGGGAAGATTTACAGGTTTGTGATTCAACATGTTGGAACAACATATGATAACTCATCTTGAATCTTGATGCCGAATTTTGCTTTTTTGGTGATCATAGTTGTAAGTTGTTTATGATCTTTTCATAAATTTGCAAGTTTTAAATATGGATTCTGTGTATGTGTATGTGTATGTGTATGTGTATGCATGAGAAGGCAAGCTCTTTTGCCATATTGTATGACATCATGTTTTTGGCAATAATCTTATTATTACTCAAAGTTGTTTTAGAATTATTTGTGGACATATGGAATAATTGTGTCGATTGAATAGTTTAGGCGATTAAAGTAGTTTTTCGTGCTTCGTATTGATTGTAAAAAGTTTATGACCAAGGGACACAAAAAAGAGAAATCATCAATTCTCTCAAAGGCCACGACTAAATCTCACAAACCAAAATCACAACAACTTGCAAAATTTCTTGCTCACAAACACTAAGGGAATAATGTAATAAGTTATACCAAAACACTCATCCTATCATATGTGCAACGCACCCTGTCAATGGGCTCTACATCGACTATACAAAACATATAATGTTTTGAACTAGGGGTCAGCAACTGACCTAAACCCGGTTAGGAACCGAAACCGATTGAGCCAAATTATGAGAACCAAACACAAAATCGGTAAGACTAAATGAAAAGAACATCAATATACTATCATCTTAAACCACACTTTATGGACACTTTCATAATCAGAACTGTCAACTACAATGGCCTAAATGAAAAGAACATCAAATATACTTTCATCTATTTATGCATTATAACATCATACTTTAACTTCTTTCTATTTTGTTTTATGCATTATAGAAATGAAAATAGGATGTTATGTTAGTAACTTAATAACAATGACAGATAAACAAAAGATTTCTTTGTTAGTAGCTTAACAACAATGACACATAAACAATTTTTTTTTTTTCCAAAACAGGTCAGGATGTTACCCCCCGAGGAATCTAGGCAATTCCTACGAGCCTTAATAGGTTAATTTTTATAAGGGTGCAATCGGGCCCAATTAGATCTTATTGGGTTTCAGTTGACCAGGCTTTGACCGGGTCATGCTTTTGGGCCTGCATGTCATGCTTGACCTGATGGACTAGGCAATAAAAGGTAACATATTCTGTCTCATATTTATATACTATGTTAATAGACATGGTCATTAGGAATAATCCACTTTGTATCTTTTAACAATTCACCACAATACTTTGCATACTTTGATAATATTGGTTCTTTTGTGTATACTTTGACAATTTTGGTCCTTCGCATATTGTAATTAGAAATTGGTCACATGTTTTTTAATATTTATCACTTTATATCCTTTTGACCATTTTTGCTTTCCTTTTGCCCTTTTTTTTGTCATACTACTTAATTTTCATTATAGATTGGTTACACGTGTTTTAATATTTCTCACTTTCAATTCCTTTGACCATTTTGTCCATTTTTCGTCTACTGATTTGTGCTTTCGTTTTGTCATCATTATCATTTATAAATAAAACAAAACACATTTCAGTGATAACAGGTTGAATAAACATACAAGAACAGTCACAATGGTTGAATAAACATACAAGAACAGTCACAATGCTAGTTACTACTATTACATCAAAAATTATTTTAGGAGGGGGAGAAAAATACAGATTTGACGATAGTTAAAAGTCAAAATCAACTTCAAAATGTTGAGGACACGTAGCTCAATTTACGTCGTTCTCCTAATAGACGGCTGAGATATACCCACTACATTCCCTGTGAATATCCAGAAGGCAAAAAAAAAACACTACTCTTGTAGTGAAGAAAACGCTGTGCTGTGCGTACATACAAAAAGCAGCTCACAGCAGCAGCAGTTGATGCTCATCCCAACCCTAATCCAAACGCATATCCTTCTTTCTTTCATCATCGTCTTCTTACGAACCCTAATCGTGTCGCAGAACCCAATGCCTGTATATTAAACGAAGAAGAAAGGCTAATCGTTAGCGTTTCCAATCGTTTCGAACTTCAATCATATCCTAATCGTGGTTTGTGATCTGTTGCTGTTGTTTTTTTGGAGAGATCGTTTTTCGCTCTTAAATCACCAAACTGTACATCATCATTTTGCCTTAAATCATATACGCATTTCAATCGAAGTTTTAGGTTAATCGAAGTCGTGCTGGTTTTCGAATTCGATTGTAGCAACTCTGATTACCTCTACAAAGATACAAACAAAAGTGTAGGTTGTTGAAATATCGATCTGAAGTGTAATTTGAGATTGGGAATTCGCATAGAAATGGTTGGAGGTGGAAGTAGAAAGGATGGACCAGTAGCAATCAACAGCACCAATGTTTTTGCTGCTCTTGGTAACCTAAAGAAGAAGAAGAAATCGGATAAAGGTGATGGTTCTTCAAAAATTGCAGGCAGCTCTAAGACGAAACATGATGGTGAAGGAAATGGAGTAGAGGAACAGGTTTTCTGGGCTCCAGCGCCTTTAACAATGAAGTCATGGGCGGATGTGGATGATGAAGACGATGATGATTACTACGCAACCACCGCTCCGCCACCGTCCGTTTGGGTTGCCGGTGAAGACGATCAGAAAGGAAATGAAACTCCTGTTGAGGTGAGAGTTCGCTTAATGATTTCTCCTTTTTCATCTTCGATTTTGTACATCTCGATTTAAACCATTTTCGTAATTTCCAGGAAAGTGAAAGTGAAGATGAAGATGAAGACTTTGAGGAAACCGATGAAGAAGAAAATGATCATGAAGAAGAAGAGCCGATCATTCAAAATACTGTTCCAATTTTGCCTCCGAAAGAAACCGACAGACAACTTTCGAAGAAGGAACTGAAGAAGAAGGAGCTAGCGGAGCTTGAAGCAGTGCTTGCAGAATTCGGTTTGAATGACAACAATGGCAAAGAGAACACCATTGGTAAGCTTCTGAAACTTCACTTAAATCAAAACATGTAATCTTGTTGATACATTCACTTGGTAGATGGTGGTGAAGAGAAGGTAGAGAATCAAAATGAAGGGGTGGCAGAGAAGAAAGAGAAAACCATGGGAGGTGGTGGTGAGAGCAAAAGTGCTAAAAAGAAGAAGAAAGACAAGTCATCAAAGGAAGCAAAAGAAGAAGAAAAGGAACAGAATCAGGAGACTGAAAGCTCAGCTGCAGAAGAAAAGGAGTTGTCTGGAGTGAACATGAAAGAGAAGATAAAGAAAATGGCTTCCATGAAGAAGAAGAAATCCAGCAAGGAAATGGACGGTGCCGCCAGAGCTGCCGCCAGTGAGGCGGCGGCAAGGAGTGCAAGAGTTGCAGCAGCCAAGAAGAAAGAGAAGAATCACTACAACCAGCAGCCTGTAAGGTAAGTTAATGGTTTTGGTTTTGAGATGAGTTGTTGAGAATGAGATAGCTACAATTTCAGTTTTTTTGCTTGTTAGGGGTTTTCACCAATATTGTTTCTTGGTAATTTTTGCATTTTGTGTAGGATGTTGTTTTGTTAAAGTTTTGGATGTTTTTTAAGCACATGTTGTCTGTTTTTAGTTAAACCATTGTGATACATGCATAGGAATTTGAATAATTGTCAAGATAGAAAGAAACATTTACATTGAGAGTTATGATTATAAACCATTTGTATTGGAAAGAGTAAATTACAAATTTAGTCCTCGTTGTAATATAATATATGGTCTAAACCCAATTTCATCTTTTTGGGGAATGGAAAACTAAGGGTATTTTGATCCAAAGCCTAAAATGTAGTCAAGCCAGAGGCATGAAAGAAAATAAGGTCATTATGAGCTCGTATGAATAAGTAATGGCTATTCAAAGTTGGGCAAAATATTCCAAAAAATGTTGGACTTGACCCTTCAACTTCTGTTCCGAGTGAAAATGGAGAATCACAATATCGATACCTGCAAGAACTGAAACCGAATTTTAGGAGTTTGGGGGACTGAGAACTAAACTGAATGCATAATCAACTGTCATTCGGTTTCGGATTTGGTTCGGTTCCAACTGCTATTTTGTTCATCCCTTATTGTAGTTATTACGGATTTACGGATGAAATCCATTTTCTTTCAATTGTCATTTTCTTAAACGTCTGCAATCTGCAAGTATAAACTATTTGTTTTTTAATATCTGCAGTCTAATAAGATAAATTGAAATTTTAATAAACCATTTTTTTTAACTTAAAAGAGTTTTTCAATATGAATTTCCTATTTTCAGCAAGGTCTTCGGATTTCCAACCACATCCAAAAGCAAAATATGATTCATAGCACATTCAACAATAAATGTAAGCAATAAAAAGTATATTCAACAAGATTAAACAAATTTAAGTAAAATACAGAGTTTCTCTACAAAAGTAACATTCAATTTCATATTAGGACAAGAAAAAGAAATCAAGAAAGGAGGTGTAAACTTTTTTCATCGTTTTGAGGGAGGAGACAAGGAACTCAACTGCTGGAGCGTCCGGTGGTGGCGGTGTGTCTGGCCTAGAAAGCTAAGTTATCTTAGGCCCTAGGGTGGTATTGGGATCGAACTAAGGTGGGTAACACCACTGCATTCTCACCACCTAAACTAAGCTAAGATTGGTTCATAAAATACTTGGCTTAATTTATACCTAGTATAACATAAATTACTCATAGAAAAAAAAACAAATAAAAATTAAATGGGGCGTTAGGGAGAAGAATCAAACACGCGTGTATGACATTCGTGAGTTGCGCTCATAACCAACTGCACTAGAATTAATTATGGTTTATAAAAGTCAATAACATTATATATAATATATATTTATTAAGTTAATATGATATTTTCAGGACCTATTATATCCATTAATATTTTCCGAACGTTTTGATTCACTTTGAAAACAGAGAAAAGATAGAGAGAAAATGAAACAAATATATATATATATATATATATATATATATATATATATATATATATATATATATATATATATATATATATATATATATATATATATATATATGTATAACCGGTTTGTTTATCTTTGCCTCAGGAATCCCATGAAGGTAACTACTGAAGAAATTGAGTGAATTATATAAATTTTCAGAGAAAACACACTACAAACAAATGAAATGTGTATTCATTTTTGTAAACTTAAATTAAAAAATAAAGAAAAGCACACGTATGAATATGGTCAAAGTGAAATGCATTTAAAATAGAGTGGTCAGGAGAATTTTCTGTATAAAGTTGGCCACATGCATTGAATTAACTTGACATGAATTCCATTGGAAACTTGATTTGCACACACAAAAAAAAAAAAAAAAAAAAAAAAAAAAAAAAAAAAAAAAGTAAAAGACGAAAAGCAACGGATTGAATGCAAAAGTTAAAAGTGAGCAACCTTTATTTCTCTGTATAGCCTTTATTTCTTTACAACATTCACAGTTGAATTGAATATAAACAAAAGTAATGGGTCGGTGAAACCGATTCATGCCATTAACCCATTGAACCCACCAAACAAGGTATAGTTAACCGGCGGTACCAGTACCGCCGTTTCCCGTTTGTCCAACTGGCGATAGTACCCTCCTCCCTAAAAACTCATTGCTGAACATTTCTGAGGTACAAAGCAAGCCAATAGATATTTGACAGTATGATGCTCTACAAAAACCCAATGCAAAGAATCCAATGCACAGTAGAACTGAAATTCCTATTCTACAAGTTAGATGAGACTCAAAATCCTCATCAATTTCTTCAAATATACTATTTCATAACCAATTGAGTAGGCCACCACGAGCACCAAATGATCCCATGACCAACATGATGCAAGCCTTAAATTTTCTTCAATTCCAAAACAAGGAAGAAATGTTCGACCTCATTTCACTTGGGCCAAGGATAATGGGTTTCAAAAGAATTCAATGAGTCAGATGTAGAGCTCAACATGTTATGGGTATATTGCCCTCCACCTCAACATTTTGTGATTTGTTAAAATCATCTGTTCTCGACATTGCATTGCAAGAGTCTGATGCAAGATTTCGTAGTAGGTGTTGCTACTGATATATTTTTTTTTACATAGTGACACAGTAGTAGAAAAGCCAAAAAAATTCAAAAACTTTTGTACTACGTAGAGACACAGGCATTGTCAGTGCAACTATTGGATGCCAAGCAAACTATGCAATTGCACCATGGTAAATCAAGATACATCTTGTGTGTAGCTAAGCATGACATCAATCCATCTACTCCATTTCATACATTCTTAGGGCTGATATACACTGATACACAAAATTCCAAAATAAATATTTTAATTATATAAAATATAAGAATCTGACGAAATTAAATTCCACCAATTTGCCAAAATCAAATATCCCTAAGATTCACGACTACACCTTCCACCTCTTCCAACAATGATCTTCGCTTTCTATTGGAAAAATTCTAGATTATGAAAGATTAAAAATGCAACAATGATCATATCACTGCCACAAATCGTCATGTTCATTTTGCATTTTCTCAACATTTGTGACAAGACAACATAATAAACATCCATAAATAATAATTACACTTACATTCACTTCATTAGTCATTCATACAAACTTTACAACCCCCATCACTTTTAACTTTGAAGTTTCAACACACAAACACAACACCCGTAGTTCAAGAACCCTCTCCACAATTTATCAACACTTGGGAAAATGCAATTTCATCAGACATAACTTCATCTTCATTTCCCAGACATTAAAAAAAGCATGTGGGTGACAACTCACATGTACCTCGTGTTGTCAAAGTTGTACACCAATCCAGAATCAATCAATCCTTCATCAACTGATTTGATATTACAAAAAAATATGGTAACATGATTTTTGTCAACAGTTTATCATTGTTGGGTACAAATCTCAAACTTGCATAAAGGACACGATGCATTGATTTTCAGCCATTTATCAACACATTCTGTATGAAAAAAATGTGTGCATGGAAGCTCCCTCAACAAATCATCATCTCTATATTTAGCCAAACAAATACAACAAACCTGCACCATTATAAATTATAAAATCAAAAACCACATCACAATTAACTCCTGAATTAGTATATTAACAACTTACAGCATCTTCTCCAGAGATAGGGCGTTCATTTACAACCCCACCTTCATCAACTCCTGAATCATTTTTCTCAGTTCTCTTCAGTTTGAATTTATGTGTTGGAAGAGCATTAATGGAGTCTTGACTTGCTCCTCTGATTTGATTCATATCCTCACGGATTCCAAGGATAGAAACAATACAAGGAAAGCAACAACATATCATTCCACATAAAATGAAAGGCATTGCATACCCTATACAACTTATTGCAAGGAAAACTATACTTAACCTGCAACCAAGAAAAAAAAACTGTAAGTTGTCTCATCAAGTTGAAGAAATAGCAACAGTTTTGAATAGAAGGGTAAAATGGTCATTTAAGAAATACGAGTAGTACCTGTACAAATTGGGAGCATCAACAGAAGATGATTGGTCTCCAAAGATCCAAACATTGCCAACTACAAACCATACAGCAAAGAAGCAATCCACAGCCATCTTTAAATGGTCCACTAGCATATTAACCCTACAAGAGGAAAATCATTTTAAAAGATGGAGTAATAATCATGGAGAAGTTGAGGGCAAAGTTGTAAATTACCTGACATTTGAACCGACTACATTTAAACCATTCCAAGCATCTGAAGATGTTGTAGTAGTAGTAGTTTGACGAGTTTGTTCTTCTGAAGAGGGAGAAAATGAGATTGTGATGTAAGAATTTGGTTCTGGTGGAGGGTTCCTTTCTGAATGTGGCTGCCCGAGTTGAGCTGCCCGCTGCCCGGAAGCTTGATTCCGGTGAAGGTACCGCCAGTATAGAAGTGGTAGACATGCAGCACAGCCGGCGGCATAGCCAATAACCCAAGCAAACAAAGGGTTTTGTGGGTTTTCATGTTGTGAGATTGATAAGACAACAATGGCAGAAATAATTTGTCCTAATGTGAATAATAACTCGATTGAAATCCATAATAATGTGTTGAATGGATTCCACCTTTCGCCCCTCCTGCCAGGTGGATTTGATCCATTTGATGGAGGTGGAGTAGAATCATGAGATGACCCTGATGATGATGCATCAGAGCTTCCACTTTCCACATCAATAAAATGGTGGTTTTCATGGTTTTCTGTGTGATCTATGAGCAAAGGGTAATCATCTGTTAGATTGTTGTGTCCTTCTGAGGTAACAGCCATATCCTAGTCAACAAAAAGTTTAGAAATGTCACATAATTGCCTATGCATTTACTCTAAATTTGGAGTGTAAACTCCATAGTATCTTCAATTTCAATGAACCACTTGGGCAAAAGTCAAACTCAAGCCGAGATGAGACACCAAACCATGTTTTTTCGATAAATTATAGACGATTTTCACATAAAACAAATTGATGTGAAATCACTAATCCCTCGATTACAAATTGTTATAAAATTCGGAGTTGCGATTCAAAACCCTAGTTTTCAAAATCAACTAGAGCAAAACATCAAATATACACCACCAAAAATCGAAGGACCGGTCGATATACTAATTCCGAAATACCATAATATCGGAATTTCATAACAATGATAAAGAGAAACAAATTAGAAGTACAGATGATAAACAGAGAAAATGATATTGGAGACAGACAGTTCTACTAATCATACAAAAACGTACCAGTGATCTTAAGTCTCAATTAAACGAGTTTTGCAGAATGAAGAATCTTAATCGAGTGAATCGATGAGATTCGAACTTTTTGTTGTTTTTGATCGAGAAAGAAGCTCAGCTTCTATCGTTATTCAACTTTACCCGGCTTCTATCACTTTGCTCAACGCAAAATAGAAGAAATATCAATATGGATTTTTTATATATATTTTTTCCTTTTTGTTAAAGCATTATATATTGTATTTCTTAGAAAAAAAAAAAAAAAGAACCCTCTCTTTTCCAGTTTCATCCTCCTATTTGAAAAAAAAAAATTCTATTTTGTTTTTCATTTATATTATTATTATTATTATTATTATTATTAGTATTACTATTATTATATTAAAGTTACGAAGAATTGTAACTGTATACTTCGAGCAGATTTGTCTCTTTTGGTTCCTTTAGTTGTTCCTCGTAGATTCTATGTTTATTTCTTTCTGATCTGTTTATTTCCTTCAACTAGCCCTGTCAAAAATACCCGTTACCCGAATTACACATCCGATTTTTTCAGGTATCGGGTAAATCGGGATCGGGTTAATTTTTTCGGATAAGTGGGTAATCCGAATTTTTTCCGGGTAGGTTAAAGGGTAAGTTGTTTGGGTTTCGGGTATACCCGATTACCCGAAATATATACAACAAATAATGTCCCTTTATCAGTTTATCTGTCCGTCCCAATTCCCAAATCCCAATTTCCCTCGTTGAGGCTCGTTCTATTTTCCCCACGTCAAAAAAACCTGGTACCTCGTCCGCTCTTCGTTGGTATTCGTCACTAATGGATGATTATATTGAAGTAGAAGATGAGACGATTGAAGTTGACAATCCAACCAATGATCAAATTCCACAAGAAAAAGAGAAAAAAAAAACTAAATAATTCAACCAAAGATCGAAAGTTTGGAAAGAATACTTGATATCTTAAATTTTATTGAGTAAACAATCTCAAATTTCAAAGTTTAACCAGACATACTTATTTCATTACATTTATTTTTAGGTGCCATTAAAAATTAAAAAAAAAAATAAAAATCGGGTAATACCCGAATTACCCTTACCCGATCCATTACCCGAATTTAATTTGGGTAGGGTAACATGTAAATATTTTTATATGAAAAACCCGAATTACCCGGCCCGAATTACCCGAAACTGAAAATTTTACCCGATCAACACCCCTACATTCAACCGACCGGTTTTGTTCCAATCGATTAGTGCTTCCTCGATTTTGCGTCGACTGATGCTTCGGCATCTACATCCAACTGAACAGATGTTGTCTCCGGTCTTCAATCTGTAGGGAAAAAATACGTTACATCAACAACTACACAGTTTTCCTCCAATTTGTGCAAGGAATATGATCGATACAATCAGGACAACTTGTCTGAGAACCGGATTTTTTCCCAAGGTAATTTCACAGTTTTCCTCCAATGTGTTTGGTTTCTTGCACGTACGGTGTTTGACGTATTGTCTCTTTGTGTATTTTCGATTTTTTTGCTACTTCATTATGTTTTCATTAGGGTGTAATCCGGCCAGGATTAGAATGAACAACTAAGAGGGAATGTTTCAACCACTTGGTATTTGTTCCTTTAATTTGTTGATTTTGAGGTTTGTCAATAAATTCTTATTTGAAAAAAATTATGGAAATAAATATTGAATTAACTTCCAGATTGTTTCTTTAATCAGCTAATTATCTCATTCACTTCTTAATAATCAATTTTAAGATGTGTTACACTGATCAATAACCCACAAATCGCGAGTTTGAAGTCATTAAACGCCTTCACGTTTTACTTTCATACCTTTTACTTTCATATATAATCTTTTGTTTATCAGAAGTAGAAGCTGAACAATCTTTGTCTATCCTTTCATTTTGCAGCTTGATTCTTGGAAACTATATCTCCGGTCACAAGGTTGTATATGAGATTCCTTTTTTACCCTTTAACTTTTGTTTTTTGGATTTATATAATCATGCAATTCAATTTCTTATTCAGAGACTTTGAAGCAAACTATATTTTAGGAACCATTCCACCTGAGTTAAGGAGATTATATAATTTAAAACATTTTGTCTCCATCTAGATTACAAGCTTACTTGGTTTGTGATATTGATTTTTAAGAAAGTTCAATAATTTTTTGTCACCACCTTCTCTTCACTATTATAGGCAGTGATTTGGATTTGTTTTGTCAACAAATCCCTAGGAAAATGGATCCATTTCTATGCAGAGAAAAATCATTTAGTGGAGAAGATAAGTGTATGCAATGCTTTGACTGATATTTACTCAAAAAGTGGAAACATCGACAAAGCA